AAAAAAAAAAAAAAAAAGGCAAAACAAATTCTACATTTTTATAAAACTTGATAAAAAATTACATTTCGAACTGTACAGTCGCCAGAAGTACACAGTTATCAAAAATGCACACACTTCACTTGGCATCCGCAGCACCTTCAGCTTTCTGTGTCTGATCTGTTTGGGCATCTCCATTTTCTGCAGCGTTATTCCCCTCCTTGCCAGCCTCAGCTTTTCCCTTTTCCTTTTTGGGTAACTTCTCTGCCTTCTTTTCAGGAGCGTTTTAAGGTTTGGGCTCTGGCTTTGGGGGAGTAGGCTTAGCAGAAAATCTCGTGGATCCTCTCTGTGGTTCGTCCTTCACCTTGGCTCTATCTCCTTTAGCATCACCTTCAGCCTTTCTCTTGGGCACGGTGGTGGCGGCAATGGCGGCGGGACGTAGGCGCTGGGCATGTGGGATGCAGCGGCGTGGGCTTTGATCTGTCCTGGGGTGGTTGTCGCCTCTTCTTCACACTGCTCAAAATATTATCATTTCAACATGTAATCAACATTAAAATTTATTAAGAGACATTTGACCTTTTTTTCATACTAAGTCTTCAAACTCCAGTGTGTATTTTATACTCACAGCACATCTTATTTCAAGTGCTCCCTTGCCACATGTGTCTAGTGCTATGGTAGCAGACAGGGAAAGTCTAGAGCGTGAAGCTGCAAGTGGGTGGCTCACACCACCATCCAACTTAAGAACTAGAACATTACCTGCTCATGTATCCACCTGTGTGCTCCCTATGCCCCTTTCCTATCATACCCTCCCTCCTCACCAGAGAATACTGGCTTGAATTTCATGTCAACCATTTTCTTGATTTTTTTAAAAAATGTAGTTTTATCATAGGCATAGGTATTACCAAAGAAGATACTGTATAGTTTACCTGTTTGAGATCTATAGAAGTTAGACTTTATGCTGTTTATGTGTCACCACTGGTGGCATAATATTGGCTGCTAAAAAAGAAGGACCTGCCGACATTTGTCACTATCACATCAATCACATCATGTCAATAAGCTATTTGGCACCAGACTTTCTGTGAGTGATTTCGATGACTGTTGCATTGCTATTTTAACATTGATTGGTACTAAATTTTAAGTATTACTTTATGTATTGCAATAGTGTCATCAGACATTATTAAACAGTGGTTCTAATGCTAGTGGTGTAAAACACAGCACCAAAACATTAGACATAAAAGTGCAAGTTAGATGTGTCCATTGCCATGAGGGACTGCCCTCCCGCTCCATGTTATTAATTTAGGAATGAATGCCTTGGGAAATATTGGAACATTCTGAGAAATAAAACTCAACATTCAAACAGAGAGACTTCTAAGTTTGCAAAAATAGTTACATAACCAGGCAGAAAGAAAGGAAAAATAAAAACAAAAAACCTGGTCACGTGGCTGCAAGATCCACGCCACAGTGATGTACACCTGAGATGCTGTGGTTGTGCGTTTAAACACTCTGAGAACATCAGGCCCTAGTTTATCTGTGTCCCTATGGGGAAATTAGAATGCTGCTAGAATACTGCCATTAGGTACATGTCCATTTACACCAGCCTTTCCCATTCAGGACCTATTTCACTGAGGTGCTAGCCTGCCATGTAGTGGCGAAAGAGGGAAACTACAGCTCTCTTAAACTATAGTATTTGATACATCAAAAGAACAAATGCAACATGAAATGAAGACTTAGAAACTCACCATTCAACTTAAGAACTAGAACACTGCCTATTCATGCATCCACCTGTATTTCCCTTTCCTGTCTTGCTCTACCTCCTCAGCAGAGGTAATACTAGCTTGAATTTCATATTGACTATATGCTTGATTTTTAAAAATACGTAGTTTTATCATAGGCATAGATATCACTAAACAAGATATCGTTTAGTTTACTTGTTTGAGCTTTATACAAGTTTGACTTTATTTAGTTTTCCATGATGTGCCGTTTTGATACATTATATTTGACCAGGTTGATGTGTGTAGCTATAGTACATGTACTCTGTGAATATATCACTATTTTTCCATTTTCCTATCAGTAGACATTTGATAGGCTCCAATTTTTGGTAAATAGTACTGCAATGAATATTGTTATGCGTGTGCAAGAATTTCCCTGTAATATATCCAGTTCAATTTTACAAAATATTGCCAAAGTGTTTATCAAGATTGTTCCAATTTACACAATCTTGGTGGTATAAAAGAGGCTCCACTGATACATGTCTTCACCAGCACTTGATACTAAATTTGTTAATTTTTGCCAACAGAGTTGGAGTAAAATGCTATCTTCTTGTGGCATTTATTTATATTTACCTGATTGTCAATGAGGTTGAGCATCTTTTCATGTTCGTGGGTAATTTATGTTTCCTTTTTTGGTAAAGTGCCTATTCGTGTATTTTGCTCATCTTCCTACTGGTTTGTCTTTTTCTTATTTTAAGATTCACACAAGGCCAGGCGCAGTGGCTCATGCCTATAATCCCAGCACTTTGGGAGGGCAAGATGGGCAGATCACCTGAGGTTGGGAGTTCGAGACGAGCGTGACCAACATGGAGAAACCCCATCTCTACTAAAAATACAAAATTAGCTGGGTGTGGTGGCGCATACCTGTACATCCCAGCTACTCGGGAGGCTGAGGCAGGAGGATCGCTTGAACCTGGGAGGCGGAGGTTGCAGTGAGCTGAGATCATGCCACTGCACTCTAGCCTGGGCGACAGACCAAGACTCCATCTCAAAAAAAAATATTCACACAGACACACACATACACATACACACACACACACGCTAGATCTTACTTTTTGTCAGTTCTATATGTCACAAATACCTTCTTCCAGTTTTGTATTTTTGCAGTTAACCTTGCTGGACTCTCTTATTCTAATAATTTGTCTGTACATTCTTTTGAGGTTTTCTATATATGCAATTATATTACCTACAAATAATGACAGTATGATTTTCTGTCTTACCCTTCACCTTATTGACTAGAAGGAGTGATAGCAGACATCTTTGCCTGACTCTGTTTTGTTTGTTTGTTTTGAGACAGTGTCTCACTCTGTCACCCAGGCTGGAGTGTAGTGGGGTGATCTTGGTTCACTGCAACCTC